GCATCCGCTGTACCCGGTGTGGCTTCCTCTACATCGGGGAAACCAAGTGGAGACTCGGGGACCGCTTTGCAGAACACCTACGCTCGGTTCGCAACAAACAACTGCACCTCCCAGTCGCGAACCATTTCAACTCCCCCTCCCATTCCTCAGACGACATGTCCATCCTGGGCCTCCTGCAGTGCCACAACGATGCCACCCGAAGGTTGCAGGAACAGCAACTCATATTCCGCTTGGGAACCCTGCAGCCCAATGGTATCAATGTGGATTTCACAAGTTTCAAAATCTCCCCTCCCCCCACCGCATCCCAAAACCAGTCCAGCTCGTCCCTGCCTCCCTAACCTGTTCTTCCTCCCACCTATCCCCTCCTCCCACCTCAAGCCGCACCTCCATCTCCTACCGACCAACCTCATCCCGCCCCCTTGACCTGTCCGTCCTCCCTGGACTGACCTATCCCCTTCCTAACTCCCTACCTACACTCACCTTTCCTGGCCCCATCCCCGCCTCTTCGACCTGTTTGTTTCCTCTCCACCTATCCTCTCCTCTATCCCTCTTCTATCCGCCTCCCACTCTCTCCCTATTTATTTCAAAACCCCCTTCCCCTCCCCCTTTTCTGATGAAGGGTCTAGGCCCGAAACGTCAGCCTCTCTGCTCCTATGATGCTGCTTGGCCTGCTGTGTTCATCCAGCCCTGCACCTTGTTGTCTCGGATTCTCCAGCATCTGCAGTTCCTACTATCTCTAAGCCTTAAAGCTTGTCTGTTTTTGCATTACTTGTCCTGTTGCCGTTATTTTAACTGTGGCACTGTTTGATCCTGGCTTTTGATTTCTCTGCCCATCACTTTTCTTATTCCCATTTTTATCTTTTGTTCTTGTCCTTGCATCCCATTCCTCTGACCTCTTGCATAGGTTCCCATTCCTCTGTCAAAGGAGGAGGCTTATAAAGTTGCCAAAAATATTGCAAATCTGAGGATTTGAAAGATTATAGAATTCAAAAGTAGGACTAAGAAACTGATAAAGAGAGGACAGAATATGAATGTAA